GCCAACACCAACCTCTCAAATGTCTTCATGACCACAGACGTTAGGGCCACAGGTCTGTAGTCATTAAGTCCTGTTATCTTGGGTTTCTTTGGGACAGGGATGATGGTGGAGCGTTTGAAGCAGGCAGGGACTTCGCACAGCTCCAGTGATCTGTTGAAGATCTGTGAGAAGATTGGGGCCAGCTGGTCAGCGCAGGTTTTCAAAATGTATAAATGACTTTTGATATTATTCTTATTAATATTTATACATATTTAAAGTGTCATCACTGTAAAATACTGAATCAATTATTCTATTTAAAATGTATTTTGAAAATTTAGTTGAACAATTAAAGCAGAATACCAGTAAAAGAGATTCATCTGAAAATCTATGACATATATAGATATATGAATATTTACATATTTATTATATAATAGCAACTACATGAATGCAAATTTAATGACATGGGTCTTACCTATAGATTTTGCTCTCTTAACACAGGTTTTCATGAAAGTGTCTGAAATGTACATTTAATTCATGAAAATTAAATAATAACACTATAAATTACAAAAAATTTATTACGTTTAAAAATAACACTATAGTGACAACATTCCACTTGGGTCCTTTTTTTTTTTTACTTTAAAATATAAACTTAATCCACAAATCTAAAAACACTGGTGTGCCTGCCGACAAATCCCTCATTAACAAATAGACACAAAAACTTTGATATTCAACAGACTATTTGCCAGCTGATTTGATTGGTCTGAGTGAGTTTGCTAAAGTGGGCAAGGCAAATCAAGCCTGGATGGGAATAACCCTTTTCACTTATAATTCTTATATATTCATAAGAAATGACTGAACATCTAAAAGTAAGATATCAGAGAGATAAGATATCACGATATCAGAAGAGTGAGATATTATGAATTAGAAGTACAAAATTAAGATTTGTAAAGAAAAATGTTGTAGAATTACAATATAAGCCAAGAGGAAACAGGTTTTCCTTTGCTGTAAACCAAACTAGGTTTTCGCGAGACTAGCATATTCTCACCAGAGTTTATGCTACATGCATCATCCGCTGGAACACTACTTTCTCATGAACACAAGTGCGATGGTTAATGGAAGCTAGAGGTTATAGTTTATAAAGTTTTAAATACGGATATTTTTCTTATGCAAATGCAACGGTTCACTTCAGGAGGCCTTTATTAACCCCCCGGAGCTGTGTGGAGTACATTTTATGATGGATGGATGCACTTTTATTGGACTTCAAAATCTTAAACTCCATTCACTGCCATTATAAAGCTTGAAAGAGCCAGGACAATTTTTTTTTCTGATTGTATTTGTCTGAAAGTAGAAAGCCATATACATGTATGATGGCTTGAGGGTGAGTAAATCATGGGGTAACTTTCATTTTTGGGTGAACTATCCCTTTAAGAGATATTTTGGTGGTTGATATCATTAAAAATCATCACCTAATATTACAAGAATCTACATTTAAATTAGTAATATTTAGTTGAATGTGTTTTAATAAGGGAAGTTTTGTTATAGGCTATGCATGTTATCAGAAAGTCACAATGCTCAAGAGATTTGTTATTGATTGTGCTAATGGACATTTCAGTGAAAAAAAAAAAACGAAACAAATAAATCAAGAAATTTCAAAATTAATTATTTATTATTTGTAATAAATGTGCAGTATTTTTGCTTTGGAAAAAAAATTAACCGACAGTTGATGCTAATTCCTGTCAGGGGGTGGCAGCAGTGAGCTGTGACGCGCCCGCTCCTCCAATAGAAACGGAGAAAGAATCTTCTCACAGCGCCTCGTTTAGCATTGACACCCGGTTAATCTGCCTCTGTTGATGATTTATTAAGTTTATCAGCATTTGGTATATTCGATTCTATAACACTTGTTATCACGCAAGGGAATGCACTACAGATAATCGTGTCAACGTAAGTAATGTGCTAACACAGCTTGATAGCATTTCTTGGGCCAGTAGCAGTGTGTATAAAAGCACACGCGAAACTTTTCGCCACGTTACCTTTACTGTACGTTAGACTCGACATCTGTCGTTTATTAATAACTATATCTCACAGCTCATCTGACTTTGTAGTGTATTTAGTCAGTAATGTAGTCAGTGTTTTAGTAAGGATGATGCAAATATTCAGACTATATATATATATATATTGTATCTATATTGTATTCAATATACAGTGGTGGCCAAAATTATTAGAACACTAGTATTTTTCACCTAAGAATGTTTTAAGTCAGTTATTTCTATCTTTTGCTGTAGTGTGTCAGTAGGCAATATCAGTTTACATTTCCAAACATTCATTTTGCCATTAATTGTAATAATCCAGTGAGATTTTTTGTTTGCACAGTGAGTTTGACAGCAGCCAGTGCTTCACACAGAGATCTGATCTCAGCATCATCCAGTGTGTCTGGAATCACATGAAGAAACAGAACAAACTGAGACAGACTAAATCCAGAAGAACCGTGGCAACGTCTCCAAGATGCTTTAAGAAACCTGAAAAACTATGCGCAAGTGCACCTAGGGCAAAAGCTGATTTAACACAAAGGATGGTCACACCAAATGTTGATTTAATTTAGTTACTAGAAGTTAATTGATAAAGAAACTCTGTTAATGACATTATTTTTGACAGCATCCTCATTTTACAATATTTTACACTTTTAACAGTACTGTAGCTTTGCAGGTTGGTCTCTTGAAGCATCTTGGAGACGTTGCCACAGTTCATCTGGATTTAGTTACTGCTTTAAGTACTACAGTGCGTCTCATCCTCTTGACTGCACCAGATTTGCCATTTCTTGCAGTAATTTGTTACTCCGCTCTCCCACCAAGACATGTTCAATTGTTCTTGAAAATGTCTGGTGGGACACATTGTTACATGTGGTTTGCCACGTCAAGGACAATCAGGCATCTTATATTACAGACACAGCAGTTTATTTCTCTAGCCACATCTGCAGTCCTCCTGCCTCCTGGACTATGGCATGTTCACACAGGTGATCAGGGACACTGGGCATCTTCTGGGTTTTTTTAGAGTCAGTAAAACAGTCAATTTTGGTTGGTGTGTAAAGAGGCTAATAGTATAATTAGCCTAGTTGAATTTATGACTGCTGATGGTTAATTAAGTCATTTGGACACATGCTAGATTGTAAATCCTATATATATACAAAAAGCTATAAATGATTTCTGGTAGAAAATCAGTATTATGCTACACGATCTGTCATTCATGCAGTGCTATTGTACTGAGTCTGTTGTGATCAGGTGCTTGTCTCTGGTTCTGCCAGTAGATGGCACTATTTCCCTTTGTTTTGATGGACCTGATTTCTGCTGACAAAGATGTGCCTCAGTTCCAGATGCTTGTTTGTATTATTGTGAATTATTCTGGTATCAGTGATACAGCATTAGGGAACAGACTGCATGCAGTAGCTCTATCTGTATTTTTTTTGGCTCATCTCTCACCTCTGGTTGAAGCTCTTGTCTTGATCAGCATGTTGTAAATTGTCTTTATGCTTATCTCTTCCTCACTCTACTTTTTTAAGACTGGGTATGCGCTATTTGAAACTCACACTCATAGGAAATAGTACCTTAATGAGCTGTTACATCTAAATAAAGGAGCACAGAGATTGATATGGCATGGATCAATGTCAGTGATATTCAGATAACTGCCAAACTAAACTGTCAAAAGGAAAAAGAAAACAAAAAGATGGTCCTTGTGGGATTTGGTGTAGGCAGCTTGAAGTACAAATGTCTTATAAGCTTCCTTATAGGCGATGATTTCTTGCAGCTGTTGTGTTATCAGTACTTTGTGACGCAGCACCTTCTCTGTGCAGATCATGTCAGATATATCACTGTCAATGTGATGCTTAAATTCTGCTTTGGGATGTAAAAGCTGAATTGCAAACAGACTCCGATCCTTGTCCGCCACACCTAAGTTTAACGGTCAGCACACAACACACCCTTACTGATGAAAAGAAATGCATGGCTAAAGAATGAATGCAGGCACATGCAATCACATACTGAAACATGCCGCACCTGCTCCGTCACTCTGAGCATTGAAGTCACAGGTTTTGAGGACATGGCATTTTTTTTGGAGCACAATGACAGTTGACAATTTTGAGTTTTTTTTCTTTGTTTGGCTATAATTAGGAAATGATCAAAAAGATTTGTTGTCAGTTACCTTTTTTTGCATATCAGCATAGGTTTGTCAGCAAGTCAGATTATCATTTATTATATTAATAAGTTAGTTTTATTTAAATACAAAAAATTCAACACATGCATGCATATATACATATTTATTAACTAATTAATAAATATTCTAATAAATAGTATTACTTAATATTTTCAGACCTGTTCTTTGGTCAAATATACCACTGAAAACATACCCTAAAAAGTTTTGTATTTTTATTTGTAATTTCTGTTACTGTATCTAGCTAACCATTCTATTTTATGAAAATGTATTTAAATTAACATATCTGGTTAGGAAAAATGCTTCTGTCATTTATTGCTATTTGGTTGATTTTGAATTGTTTCATTGCAAAGTAATTAAATGAAAATAATAGTTTATGATAAATTAAAGTGGCTATAATTAGTGTCAATTACCTTTTATGACATTGCATATCAGCATAGTTTTGTCAGCAAGTCAGAATTTTATTTATTATGTTAATACAAAAACAATACAATATAATACATTTTACATATACATTTATTATAATTAATACTGTATATTTTAATATAGATAATCATTCTAAATTTTGTAGAAAATGATTACAAATTTACTTCAATTATTCGATTACAATATTGTATATAAAAAGACAACAACAAAGGTTTTTTTTAATTTTTTTTAGCTGGTTTAAAAAATAAAGCTAAAAAATCCCTTGGAAATAAGTTTGAAGGTGCAAAAATATTGCCATTTAGCTACAGAATGTGATATATCAGAATTGGTAAGGCATTTAATGTTGAAAGTGTGTTTTGGAGTTCTAGTAATATGCTGGAATGTACATAGGATGTACCCCAGCTTCTGATTCATCTGCTAAAAGTAAAAGGAAGTAAGATGTCGATTATTACGAAGAAGGATGTTTCTGTGTACACAATACACATGCTTGCCAACTGTTGTGTGTACGTGTGTTTACTTCTCTTTTCCCCGCCTTTAAGCACTTAAAATTTTTAACTTCTTCCTGGAGTGGAGAGGATGCAGGGGGCGGAGACACAACCAGTTCGCCTTTCTCCCAGACAGGCAATCAGTGCGCAAGAGCTGTCTTGTCCCCGCCCCCTGGGCCGGTCCTGCCAGAGCTGCTTTGTGTGAAGCATGCAGGGTGCCGCTGTCCTCCTCCCTTTTGCTTTTAATGGCTGTCAGAGACGCCGAATAGAGGGAAAGCAGCTAGAAAGGGGCTCCGTTTGATTAGAAAGCAGCGGAAAAGAAAACACTGCACACACCATGATGCCAGGACATGCTAGAAACCCACACGTGAGTCAGATGCCATTTTGTCATTTGCTTTTCCTCGTTGCTTCTGCCTGCTTCCATCCCTCTCCCTCCCCCGTTTGTAATGTTTAGGGTGCAGCTAGAGTCTTGTGATACCTCTTAGCAGGGATGATGAGTGTGTGAGCTGGAAACATGGTGGGTTTCTCAGTATCTTGATGTGGACACTTGGTCAGAATGGTATTAGTGATGTGACTTCTGGGTTTTATTTTTATGTGGAGTAGATGACAAACACAGAGGCTGGTGGGACAGATGGACAGTGCCCTCGAATCCCTCTAGTACATAGTAGGACAAGTGTGAGAGTAATGAAGATTTCCCAAAAGGCCTAGGCTAGCACTGCCTTAAACTATGCCATATGCCGTTGTAACCTCATTTTTGGAGGACGCGTGGGAGTTGGCCCTGAAGATGTTGTGTAGACATCTATTGGCTATAGAGCACAGACACTGTACTGTCTGAGACCTTGTTCATGTCATACCACGAGAGTAAAATATTTGAGTAAGTCATTATAATACAGGGTTCTTCTGCATGAAGAACCTATACTCCTATATGTCAGGTTAAGATTACTGCACGTTTACATTGAAAGTTTGTGGTCTGTAAGATTTTCTGGGTAAAAAAACAGCTTCCACAAAAACTGTTTTCAACATTATTAATAAGAAATATCTGTTGAAAATAGAGTGATGGCTGCTGAAAATTCTGTTTTGCCATCACAGGAGTAAATTACATTATAAAATATATTAAAATAGAAAACAGTTAAATGAATTTGTAATAATATTTCCTAACATCACTGTTTTTACATTTTTAAATCATAAAATGCAGGCTTGATGAAAGATTATTTAAAAAAATATGAAAAAATATTAACAACCTTAAACTTTTCAAAGGTACACTATGTTGTTTTGAACTGACCTTGGCAACAAACATAGATTTGTTGTGAAGCACACACAAGACACTGAAAATGTTCATTCATTCTTTTGCTTCGTTTCGTTCATTCATTTGTCTGTATGTTCATTTGGTCCAGTTTAACCAGTTTGTGTTTTCTAGCTTGATTAAATCACTGTGACATGTATCTTACCGCTGTACCGACTAGGCTATACATTTCTCAGTGGCACATGATATTGAGTTATGAATGTACAGTGCATTTAACATACTGTAATGATTTACATATGATTTAGACTTCTTCTATTATAAATATTTCTGAATTAAAATGAATTAAATGTTTTTTGGGATATAATGTCAAGCTGGTGTAACCAAGCTAAGATTCAAATGAAGAATAAAAAGGCTAAAGTCTTTGAGAAAGAGCTATATTAAGGAGTTTGTCATAATTATTTTTTTTTATATTAATAGTAGTATTTAGTAATTAAGTTGTAATGAACAGTGATGAAGCAGTAATGAAGCTGTTGCATTTTCAAATATTTAAATATTTAATCTAATATTTAAAATACTTTGCTTGTTAAATCAGAGGAAGTGTGGTTTGACCAACATGAAAAAAGACATTGAAAATGATTTACATTAAAAAATCTATTGATTCGGATATGTACCCATGTTCTAAGAGCATGAAACCTCTAAGACATCTCTATTATTCTTTGTACCAGTTCATTAATGGTTCAGCTTTCTGGTGCAACTGGTTTGTCAGGGCATTTAGTTGTGACAATTTACATTTGACATGATCCAATTTTCCAGTCATCTTTGGCTTTGTGACAGAAGACGACTCAAATCACAAACTTGAACATATTTGCATTGGCCCCAAGACACACCCTTGTGGCATTCCTCCATGTTTGGGATAGTTTTCTTTTGAGTGTGAATGGCTGAAAGCTATATCTCTTCTAATATTAATATCATAGAATATTGTTGTATGGAATCATTCATATTATGAGACAAAATGCTTAAATCAGATTACCACAACATTTGCTTTGGCTCTACCATTATATTCTCCCTGGATGGCATAATACTTTTTTTTTTGTCTTCACAAAATATATTTTTGTTGTGAAATATTTACTGATTTTTATAAAGTAAAAAAAAAAAAATATTGTTAGTAATTTTTTAAGATGAACATTTACTGGACTGATGCAACTTAGGTGTACTGGATCATCCATACTCATCTTTAGAAAAATAATGTTAAAATGTAACTATCAAATATGATACAACAGGCTTTTGAGAAATTCATTGTTTGTTTTGCCCCTCAATACAAAATATAGAGCTTTGATCATAAAACTATGCATTTAAATATCATCTTACTAACGGAGATATGGAGTGATTACTGATATTTATATGTATTTTATGCAACTAGTCTGCTGTAGTGTTATAAAATAATTATTGATTTACATGATCAGAATTTCATCTTCTGTTTTGGCTATATAAATGTCATTTTTTTGCACAGTTTTGACCCTCTGAATAAAACAAAGATATTTTTTCCTTCTGTGAGCTCCGTATTTCTCAATGTCATACTACGTGAGCCATAAAGCCTAATGTATCCCAAAAATTTTGTTTTATATATATTTTTTTTTGTAAAGATTCAGTGAACTGTTTCATTCACCAATTCAAGTGTAACCATAACAAAATATTGTTATTAAACCATTTCAATTATTAATTATCTGCTAACTAGTCTTGATTCAAGGTTAACTTTGAAGTGCTACCTATTGCAATACAATATAGTCATTCAATAGCAATGCTCTCCCACATATAGCTATTCTAACTGCGCTTATTTCCGTCATTGGTATAAGTGGCAGTGGGTGGTAATAGACTAGAAATGTACAGTTTTATACCATCGTGCTGATAACGTTTCTTTAGTCATTCGGCAATCCTACAGCCTGAACCACCGTAGGGAACCCATCCTTACAATATATATGTGTGTGCGCTTGTGTTTCTGTTTGCGCACAGCTTTCCCTGTCAAACAAATAAAACATCAAAATATCAGGTCGGGAAATGTTGAGACTTTCTCCCCTCCGCGTCTCATGTAGCACAGCAGTGTAGCACACATTGATCGGCACATGCGCATCACAGACAGGCAAAGAGCAACAGAAGTGAAGCCCTGCCCTGTTTGTCTTGGTGTGGAGGTGAGTGGTGATGAACAACAGACTAAGCTATCTGTGCCTCGAATTTACAGCTAATTATCCAAAAGACAAAAGACACTTATAGTTAATTTGTCTTGCTAACATTTATGTCTCATGAGAGAGTTACCATGTACTTTAGTAGGTTAGACCAGTGCGCTTTCTTTCACTGCATGATTCAGTTTATTAAAATGCATTTAGAATGATCACAAAAATCAAGATATGGGGGCAGAAATGTATATATTTATATAATTTCATATAGTTAATCAGTATCACGCGAAGACTGACGTTTTTTCCACCAAAAAGCAGCATGATTACAAATGTGATATTGATTTTATACAGCAGTTTAATAAACAAGAATTTAATATTAAGACTCTTACGTTTTAGACACAATATTGACAGTTTTTGCTGTATTTCGCCAACATATATAATTCCAATTTGCGTCTCTGAGCA